TGGGGCCCAGATGGATGTTATACACACAGTGGGTTTGTGTTGTAGCTACAGAATGAACACTGAGCTTAAGGAATCTGCCATATTATAGCAAACAGTAAGCAAGCCTATTCCTTATTCTTATGGGGAAGACTATCGCATCCCTTATGGTTCCTTGCTGCCAACATAACCCTGAGAAATGGTGCCCCAGGTAAAAAATGTCAGGGTCTTGCCTTCTTGGCATGTCCCGGAAGATATGTAGGAATTCAAGAGAACCATAGAGGACTCCTCTCCCAACGACAAGAGGGTACCCAAGGGGATCCCCTGAGCTCCAGCTGTCTTCTGTCCCATAGAGAACAGAAATCTTTTTTTTTTTTTTTTCCTTCATGGCCAGGTTCAGGCACCTAACCAAATGTAATAACTTTTGTTCTTTTTACCCAGTGCCAGGAGGATGCCAGAATTCCCAGGTTGTAGTCTTAACTTCTAATTCTGTAAAAACATTTGTCTGTCACTTGGTTGAAGCATTCTTCTTTTGGATCCTCATATCTTTAAACTAGCAGAAAGACTAATTGCTGAGATCAGAAGCAAAATATTTGTGAGTGAACAGTGAGGGGAGCTTCTTCCATCCCTTGGTTGCCAGGCTAAGTCTGACTATATAGACACCATTTTGTCAGGGCACCTGGGTGGCTCAGTCGTTAAGCATCTGCCTTTGACTCAGGTCATGATCCCAGGGTCCTGGGATCGAGCCCTGCATCGGGCTCCCTGCTCAGCGGGAAGCCTGCTTCTCCCTCTCCTTGTGTTCCCTCTCTCGCTGTGTCTCTGTCAAATAAATAAATAAAATCTTAAAAAAAAAAACATTTTGTCTCTGTAAATTTTTTAAGTGTTTTTTTTTATTTTTTTTAAGGTTTTATTTATTGATTTGAGAAAGCAAAACCAGGAGAGGGAGAAGCAGGCTCCCCACTGAGCAAGGAGCCCAATGTGGGACACTATCCCAGGACCTGGAGGTCATGACCTGAGCCAAACCATCTGCCCCTTTTCTCTGTATATTATGTGAAATCACATCATTTGAAAATGGATTCTGCTGGTGGTGCCTGGGTGGCTCAGTCGTTAAGTGTCTGCCTTTGACTCAGGTCATGATCCCAGGGTCCTGGGATCGAGCCCCGCATCGGGCTCCCTGCTCTGCTGGAAGCCTGCTGCTCCCTCTCCCACTCCCCCTGCTTGTGTTCCCTCTCTCGCTGTGTCTCTCTCTGTCAAATAAGTAAACAAAATCTTAAAAAAAAAAAAAATGGATTCTGCTGCTTAAAAAGTTTGAAAACCACTGTTATAAGGCTTTTCCCTGAAAGGAGGAGAATGAATACACACACACACGCACGCACGCACACACGCCCACACATTTATATATATATGTGTGTGTTTATCTCTGTATGTGGTGTGGGGGAACAGAGGGCAAAGGGGCTGGGCCTGGGAAAACAGATCTGACCTTCACCTCACCCAAAGGAAAGGAAATGAGGTATATTGAGCTCATCTCTCTCTCCTACAAGTTTTGCCCAATGAGAGAGAAGTTGTAATCTGATGAAGCTAGAAGTTAAGACTTTGCTGTTTTATTAATGGTGTGATTATTCTTTTGAGATTCACATCTACTTAAGATTTTCATCAGCTAAGGAGAATAGGTAAGGTATGTCTTATGGTGGACTCATAAGTGGACCCCCACTTATGGTGGACTCTTAAGCTGGATTTGGGCCCCACCGTCTTTTATTCCCCACTACAGGACATATGAATATGCAAATTCCAAAATTTAGATTATTGGGGTATACGGGTGTGAGTAGATGGGGATTACCAGGTACTGACACATTTATCAATAGTGTGTTTTTTTAATATATATAATTTTTTAAAGATTTTATTTGAGAGAGAGTGCACACACATGAGCCCAGGGAAGGGGCTGAGGGAGAAGCAGGCTCCCCGCTGAGGAGGGAGCCCAATGCTGAGCCCCCGGGATCATGACCTGAGCCGAAGGCAGATGCTTAACCAACGGAGCCACTCAGGCGCCCCAGTAGTGTGTTTTATTATGTCTCACTTGGCTATTAATCTTTATGTAAACTCCCTGATGAGAATCTCAGAGGACTGAATAGTAGACCAGGAACCAAAGCCCCATCCCAACTCCCAACAGAAGGTAACTGAACTGAGTAAATAAGAATTTATTTCCAAGTTTTTTTTTTTTAAGGTTTTCTGTTTGGTTTTTGTTGTTGTTGTTTTACCTGCACAGGGAGCATTTTGTTCTTAAAGGCATTCTCTACAATAACTGTTCTTCTGTGTATCCTCTGTAGACCCACTTAGAAAGGTTATTTAAATTTTTTACTCCAGAAAGCTTTTAAATGGGTAATCTATTAACTCCAGACTGGAAATTCACTTCTATTTACCATCTCAAATTTTTCTCGGCCAAGATTTCATTCATAGCTCTCCAGATTATCTGCAGTGAACAACCGAATGACAGCTTAAAACACTTCATCTAATTCCGTACTAGCAACGTAAAATCCCCCAAATTTGACTCTTATGGCCCCCTCATTGTTAAATTCCCACATCTGTGGTATTCCTGTGAGTTAAAATTAAAGGCCATTCCAAATATGTGCTCTCTCTGGTTTCTTACACTGCTCAGTCTCAGCCAGAAAGCATTTGCTTAAGTGTTTGGGTAGATTCTGGGACGCTTTCTTCAGCAGCTGCAGCCTGGGCTATCTTCCATTGGAATATATTAAGATAGTTTAGCAACTCCAAAGGTGAATTTCTCCAATTTCAAGGTAGCTGGTGCCACGTGTTTTCAGAATGTTGAAGGGCCCTAGAAACCTTAGCACAGCATCATGTCCGCCCCCACAAACCTGAAAAGATACAAGCAAATCTCCCATCTCTGCAATAAATAGTGCAGATGTTGACACCTTACTATAAAGTCCTAACCCACATTATTGTTCCCAGACTAAAAAAACAACAGAAACTTCGGTTTCTAGGGAACAGAGAATCTTCAAAGAAAACATAAGGATCTCTGGGCTTTTTGCTTGCACAGGTTGCCAGTCTGTTGGCTGTCTGTAATTTGCAGACTCTAAACTCAGGTGAGAGGAATCACTTATCAAGAGGCTAATAGGACACTTTACCGTATAGGGAAGGAATTTCATCTATGTGTAATAATGCTTCACTGACATAGGATACCTTGTTCTTGGAAAAATTTGCCAGGGGGATTTACCCAACTGCCAGGTCTTCTGGAGTCTCCCTTTTTCCCCTGTTGTCTGTCCTGCACATTTAAATCTTAATTTTTATTTCTCTTTTGAACCTTACGTTGTTGGCAGTTGAGTTCTATGTAGTGACGAAATATTTTCTTTTGAGAGAAGAATGATCCACGTTTGTAGCAGGCAGTCATGCAGAGCAGTTTGTGGCCTTGCATTCTCTACAGTTCTGATCCAACTGGTTTTTCTGTACCCCTGTGTCCCCGTTATGATCCTATCCTGCTGTGAAATTCCTTGTTTCTGCTACTAATCCTATCTCTTGGAGGGGTCTTTTTTCCTTTCCATTTATCTCAGCTGGAGAATGACCTTTGATTCCTCTAAAGCCTGTGGTCGCATAGGGACCAATGTGGCCTTTACAGTGTGCTCCTCAAACCTTGCCATTCCTCGTTATTTGAGTCTTCCAGGCTTTGGAAACTCAGCGGTAACAGACATTCCTTTTTGTTACCTGTATGTGTCAAAATAGGCTATGACTCTATTGTGTATTTGTTCCTTTCAGGCATCTCCAGCAGAGTTATTAACCTGTTCAAGTTGAACCCTTTCCTTTCTACATAGTATAGAGCTAACACTGTTTAGATACGAATACCTTCCTTACTTTTCCTTTCCTTTTGATTTTGGGCCCAAATGTTTGTTTTGCTTCTTCCTTTAGTGCCTTTCTTATAGACACCGTCACAGTGGAAATCAAGAGGTCCATGTGGGGGCGCCTGGGTGGCTCAGTCGTTAAGCGTCTGCCTTCAGCTTGGGTCATGGGGATCGAGCCCCACATCGGGCTCCCTGCTCGGCGGGGAGCCTGCTTCTCTCTCTCCCACTCCCCCTGCTTGTGTTCCCTTTCTCACTGTGTCTATCTGTCAAATAAATAAAATCTTAAAAAAAAAAAAAGAGGTCAATGCGTTCAGGATTGGTGCAGCTGCTGCCAATCCTCACCCTCAGTAAAGTAATTACAACTATGGACAGGTTCAGCATCTAATTTAGGCTTGGATTATGTCTGGGTTATTTGGCTTCCCTTTAATGTGACCTAGTACTCTCCCTTAGAGTCTTTTTTCCACAGACTTCCCAGATATGTTCTACTATAGTATGTAGCATTCCTGTCTTTCCACCCATATCACATTGCAAATTACATAATGGATGAACTACTTTATTGCTAATCTTCCTTTTCCAAAACTTTACAAATCTGAATTTAACGTAATCACCTGTTAAAACTGTCTCAGTCTTTAAGGGTAGTCCTCTAATTATGTGTTTGATTTCTTACCTTTAGCTTTAAGAGAGCTCTTAAAAATTTCTTTGATCCAGGCTTTTTCTGAGAACTGTTTTAGACTACTGCTGAATTTTACTTTTCTTCCTGCGTATATCTCTTTGGCTTATATCACCTTACTTGAATAAATAACAGCAAAAGTAACTTTTTTTTTTCCCTAGCCTCATCTTTTAAAGAGCAGTGATAGCAAACTGTATTTCCTCTGCCTTTTAAAGCTGTTTGACCTAACTTGTCATGTTTCCCTTAAGGAAGAAATCTGCTTTTCCTCTATTAATCTGGGTGTCTAACTTGTTTTACTTTCCCACTTGCCTTATTGTGATTATGTGTGTTTAAATCCACTGCTATTTTTCTTGCTTTTCTGAGCAAATAAGATTCCTAAGGCCTTCTTAATTTTTCTCTTAGCTTTTGAGTTTATTATGGCTTTGTTGAGGCTTTTCTAGTATCTCAATCCAAGAAGATGATTTACCCCCATATAATAAGGGCTCCATTTCCCTTTATCTTTTCAGTGATTTAAATCCACCACCCAACTATAGTTGAATCTACAGTCTACTCAGGGATTTATACCCAGGGCCAACTTGAAATCACGCTGGGCGGGACTGATTGCAGAACCTTGTTGACAAGCTGCATAAATCCGAAGGTTAGTCATTCCTCAGTCCTCTTCTTGGGATACGATGAAGGATAGAATTTGGAAATAGAATTAGCTGATTGCATGCCTCTTAGTAATGCCAGCACATATTGTTAAAAGTTAGAGCCTCACACAGTGCTGTGGAGCTTACATGGAGCCTACTGCCTTTTGCAGTCCTACCTGGCAAACATGTAGAGAAAGCAGAAGGTCATTCTGCCAACACTTGCCTGAAATGCTTGCCTGTTTTGAAGTGAAATCTTTCCTAACCAAAGGACTGTTCCTGCAGAAGTCCCTAATAATTATAGGCACTAAAGCATCACCTAAGTTTCTCTCTGTCTGCAGTGCATTGAATGTCTCTGCATATGGATTTCAGCAGCCCTCTTCCACTCCTGGTTCCAAACATTTAAGATGAGTTATGTTCCACTTTGTAGCAGACTTAGAAGAAAGTGAACCAGAAGGCCTGGCAGTGTGGGGTCAGTGACCTCTACTTTATTCTTGCTCATCCTATAGAACCTCTTCCACAAGCGACAGGGGAGAAAAGGACTGAGCCTTCCTTCCCAGTACTTAACTTGCCCCAGAGAAGAGACACTACAGTATGAGAGAGAAATCTAATGTTTCCCCTCAGTGGGTAACAGTTACACTAATACCATTTTTCCAATTATCCATTCTCTCATCACATTTTTAAAATTAACAGACTTTGCTTTTTAGAGTAGTTTTAGGTTTACCAAAAAATTGAACAAAGTACAGTTTCCATTTTCCCTCTCTCCCTCCCAGTTTCCCCTACTATTAACATTTTGCTAACACAAGTATGATACATTTGTTAAAATTGATGAGCCCAATATTGTTACATTGTTATTAACCATAGTTTACATTAGGGTTTATTCTCTGTGTTGTACATTCTGTGGATGTTGACAGATGTATACATGTATCCTGTTACAGTATCATAGGAAATAGTTTCGCTGCCCTAAACATTGCAGGTGCTCCAGCTTCTTACCACATTTTTGAAATAGTATCTTTATCTGTATTAAATTCCTATTTAATGTAGATCCCTCACATTTCTTAAGTTTATTTCTCAACATTTAATTATTTTGTTGCTGCTGTGCCAGGTTGTTTTTTTGTTTTTTGTTTTTTCCTCATTTGTGTTTCTTTGTGGCTTACTGCTGACATATAGATTAGCTAATTGCTTTTTCATATTTATCTTATTTCTGTCTAGCCATCTTACTATTTAGTTTTGTAAGTGTTAAGTTTATTTATCTTTATTTTCTTACTGATTTTGTTACCTAAAAACCCAAGTCAGCTGCTCATTGCTCAAAAAGCCAGTACTTAAGAGACATATTTTGATTGGAAAGGAATATGAGCTTTATTCAGGAGGCGGGCCACCTGGGAAGAAGGCAGACTTTTGTTTAAAAACCAACTCTAAGGTTTTTGCCTGGCCCAAAGATTTTTAAAGGAACTTTAGGGCAGTTAATCAGTAAAGGGGAGCACAGTGATCTATAACACTTCTTGATTGCGTGCAGACTCAATGCTACCAGCTACAGACATTATAGCCATGCTTGAAAGTTGTGTATTGGTGCCCTGGGCGGGGGGAGGTTGTGCGAGAGAGTTTGGTTCCCATACAAAGAAAGGTTTAGTTAATCACGAGGGCTAAAGATGCCTGCTAAACTTAGAGACTGGTAAGTTGGCCAAAGGGGCCGAGGCAGAGGCAATTTTCAATTTGGCTAAAATTTTCAGATTTCAGATTATTCAATAATTGAATATTCAATAATTGAATAATAGTGACAGCATATGTGTCTCTTTTCAAACTTAAATGAGAATGCTTCTTTTGTGTCACTATTAAATGTGATGTTTGCTTTTGAGTCAAAACACCTTCAGCATACAGATACATCATTTTCTTTATTAAAGAATATAAAAGGAAATGAATTTTTAATTTTGCCATCTATTGAAGTTTTTCTCTTTTAACCTGTGAATATGCTGATTATATTAAAGAATTATTGTTCTTGAAGCCTCCTTGCATTCCTAGAACAATATTTGACTAATAACCCTGCTGAATTCACTTTGCAAATATTTGACAGATCTATAAGTAAGTCCCTACTAAAAGAAGAAAAAAGTTCAAAAGTGCAAAGAAAATGTGACTAAAATACCACCTGGTAGTTAAAGAAAAAAGAAGACAGCAAGGAAGCATAATTGTGTAAAAGAAGATGGCCTATGTAAGAGGAAACATAAGTTATCAGTAATATGAAGGATCTAAATCCTACTAAAAGTAATTTTAGATGGTGAGATTTTCAGATTAAGTCACACAAATCTGTGCAATATCTAAGAGACTAAAAATTCAAAAGCTGAAAATAATAAATATAAAGATACAACAAATATGGGGGGATATAAGCAGAAATTGCCAGGGTTTTTTTTTTTTTCTTGTTTTATCCAGTGAACATGTATTGTTCAGAAGGTAGTTTTGTTTAAGTTTCTCTTCAATTCACATAGGACTTGTTACCTTTCATATTCTCCAGTGTAACCCAGATCTCTGTCTCTTCCCATTTTCTATCTGCGGATACACTCTTCCTGAGCAGAGCCTAAGTCAGTCCCATCTCTGTTGAAACCTGTTAATCTATTGTAGTACAGTCAGATGTACCATTTGGATACAAAAGGTTCCTCCCATTCCTTCCGTAACATTAATATCCAGCTGGAGATTATTCTTAGAGACGACTAAATTGCTGTGCAGAGATCTCTCTGATTTCTTTAACTTCCTAAAGTGCCTATAAATTCATGGCACTAAAAATCCCTATTGCTGAGTATATATTTTGGAAAGGTTTTTCGCTGCATTTCAGTATAGTTGTACATCCTCTGGAACTTCCTGTCAGCAGCCATAGACCCCCTCCCTTATCTGACTTGTTTGTTCTGTCCGAATTCTTTTTCTTCCTCCCTTCCTTCTTTCCGCCTTTTTCTTTCTTCTCTTGAGCAACTAGATCAGCTTGTTTTGGTGGTAACCAAATAGTTGACCTGGTTTTGCTACCTGGTATTTTTGGTATGGTATGTGGCAAAATCACCTAAGAACTATGCCTACTCTGTACCTCCCCCACCAAATCAAAGGAAATAAAAATTTAAAAATTCAAGACACTATTGGGATAACAATGGCTTTAACTATAAGTAATCTGCATGTGATATCTAAGCAGTAGTCCATAGGCCTTACAAAAAAATCTTCACATAGCTGTAAAAATGAAATTTTGTTCATCTTTTAGCCCACTATAAAATAGAAATAAAGCCCATTTCCTTTCTTGTACTGAGCAGTACCATCTCACTTGGATTTTTATTCATGGAGTAATAAAGTAGAATATAGTGACTTACCTATCCGAATTGTATTAGTAGTTTTATTTTTTTAAGGATTTTATTTATTGAGAGAGGGAGTGAGAGCACAAACAGGGGGGAGGGGGAGAGGGCAAAGCAGACTCCCTGCTGAGCAGAGAGCCCAACAGGGGACTCAATCCCAGGACCCTGAGATCATGACCTGAGCCAAAGGCAGATGCTTAACTGACTGAGCCACCCAGGTCCCCTGTATTAATAGTTTTAGTAAATACTTAAAATTTACAAAATGCCATATCCTCTGAGCTACTAAGCCAATTTTTAGATTTGTGATAGGTTTTTTTTTTTACTCTGAAAGTATTATTTGCCTCGTATTCCCAGTGCTAAAAGAGTGCCTAACATATCACAAGCTCCAGATTTTCTCTGAGACTAACCTGTACATTATATCTTTAGCTTCATTAAGAAATTGACAAAAAAGGTATTCTTTCTCCTTGAAATTCATCTTTAAGGGTTCCAGTAAACTTTAAGTTTTTTCATTAATATTTCATTTCGTCAGCATTGTATTTAACTCTGCCTTCTTTCAGCAACCTAGAGTGACACCATTTTGGCCTTGGTCAGAAATCACAATTTAAAAGTGGTTGCTATCCAGCTCCTATCAGACGTACATTTGAGAGAAGTGTTACTAAGGAAAGAGTGTGGAATGGTCATTTGGTTTGTCCACTCTGTATTCTGAATTGTTTTTGTTTCAAGTTAGATCTGTGTAAGCTACTTTCTTGGGAAATACAGTGTGCACTTTGGAACTTACCAAGAATAGATAATTTTTTAAAAACCCAGATTGCTATGTTTGAAAAACCATCAAGGACATTGCTCTTATTTAATGTTCTCATAAAATCTCACCATAAGAAATACCTTAGAATTTGTGTCAGAAAAAAAATTGGTTTCCCTAAAGGCTTAGTAGACTACTTTTCTGATTATAAAGATCTTTTCTTTTTTCCCCTGTTTTTACTGCTGGGAAGCTCAGTGCCACATTTTGATACAGCAAATCATGATAGCAGCTCTGTAAGTCCTTTCTAAATGTGTCTGATGAACAAATTCTGTGCTGGACAAAGACTGGATTTAAATAGAAAACAGAGATAAAGCATTTGTCAAGCACCGGTTTTGTATGTTTGCTAAGCCAGGCCCAGAGAGCCTCTTTTAATTTCATTTATTTCTCTCTTGACTAGAAAACATTGTGTGATGTGATCCTTATGGTCCAGGAAAGAAAGATACCTGCTCATCGAGTTGTCCTTGCAGCAGCCAGTCATTTTTTTAACTTAATGTTCACAAGTAAGTATCTTAAAGTAAAACATAATATTTTTTCATGAGAATGAGGTAGAGTCTAAATGAAAATATCTTCCTAGTTTTTAAAGCACTTAAGAAATTAAGGCCATAAAACAATGAAGAGATTGAAAAGTGGTTATGATGAGGATTGAGCAAAAGAAAAATGTCCTTTCGTTAGCCCTACAGGCCCAAGACTTTTATGGATGAAGATACAGTTTCTACTTGAATGCCTAGTTTTCTTCTTTTTTTTTTTTTAAAGATTTTATTTATTTATTTGAGAGAGAGAGAATGAGAGA